TTTATTATTCCCTACCTTTCCTTATGTGTGCCTTATGCTGTGCTAGAAGGGCAGAGAGCTAAGTGTCCTTAATTAATAACTACAATGGCAGATTTACAGTACTTTGGGAACCTGATCTCACTTGAGTCAACTAGAATAATTCTATTGGCTTCAGCAGACTTTCTTGAAGTTAATTCTTAAGACCAGAGCTACTGGCCTTCTCTGCTATCGGTGCTGGAGCCCAGGTCTTGCAGATGTCCCACATGATCTTTACAACCTTCCTGAGCTTTCAAACCTGAGGCCAGCTCCAGCCCTGGTTCACCTGCAAACCTCTGCACTGCCTTCAGGATTTACCTATCAAAGTTAAATGAAATCTGCCATGGATAGGTGGATGACAAAATTAACATCAGTATTACTTACCAGTTCCAATGCTACATCAGCTATCAGGTTCTGATCATCCAGGCATAAGACATGTTTAGAGGATGAATCCCCAGATATCATGCGCAATTTTTCTTCTTGGACATTTTTCTTAGAAAGGCCAATGGTAAAAAAATGTATTCCAAGACTCCTAGCTGCTGTGGCTATACCCTGGACATTAGGGCTGTTTGGGTGATCCACACCATCAGTCATCAAAAAAGCCACTTTTGAACTTCTCTTACGACCTTCAGTTTTAAACAGCTGAGTGGCATTGGAAATTGCATAATAGGAGTAGGTGCCGTGGCCAATAAAGCCCAGAGACTTGATTTTCTCTTTAAAATTCTGTACATTTTTCCAAGCTGTAAAGGGATGATCAATGCTGACTGTGCTGCTGAACTGCATACTTGCTAGTTTGACATTATACTTCTGGGACTTAACCGGCTTCATCTGGAAAATGCTGTCAGTTAAGTTTAGAACAAAATTCTTCTGTATATCAAACAACTGATTTTTGGCACTTTCTGAACTGTCCAAGATAAAGACTATATCAATGAGACACATACCACCTGTAATGGGACAAGAAAGTTAAATCTGTGAATGATGGGCACACCTGCACAACATATTTCAGATAATTCTCTGCAACAATTCCAGTCCTCAGGTAATTTCCCCAAGGATTACTCTGCCTTCCCAGTAAAAATTCTAAGGATAAATTTCATTGTAAATGCCAAGAAATTCTATTAAAGTCGAGTAAATAAATTTAAGTTATTATTATTATTATTAATTACAGTCTCCAGACATAAACTTTCAAATTAGGATCTTGATGGGATTATTTTAGCATTTTAGTTCATTTTGCATAAAAAAATTTCCACGTGCAATTTCAAATTAAAAATTAGGCTTCTTGTCATTGATCTTAAAAGAGATATGCGTGTCAATGAAAATCAATCAAACTGGAGTCCATGATGAAGTAAATGTCACCACAGTATTCTCCAGGCCTGATAATCAAAATAAATCACATTTTAAAAATGCATATATAAGTTGTCAATTACTAGCCAATTATCCTGAAATATGCAGAGACATACAATACGGTCAATCAGAAATTTTAAGAAAATGGGTTTACCTTCATTCTTCTGCACAAGAGAATAAGAATTATCTCCTTTCCTTCTGTTTTGCCCATATACTATCTGGTTTGTTGTCACAGCCAGAAGTAAAAAGCAAAAGAAAAAGTGTTTCTTCTGCATAGTGACTTTGATCCCAAATTAGACAACTTTTCCTTGCTGTTAAAAGTAGAAAACCACCTGTGAATATTTCATTAGTAGATGCAAATAAACAAATACAGATACTTTACATACAGAATAAACATTATTGGGAAGCCCAATTCTAGAGACAACATACAAAAAACAATTATAAAAAGTCACTGGGTAGGTGATTTCAGCACTGCAGCCAGTACAATCCCAGCTGTAGCTCACATGTATATTAGAACCTGGTTTATTAGAGAAGAAATATGGATAGAGCAAACACAGCAATCCCTTTTCATTCTTAAAAAAAAGGCCAGTGCTATCTTTAGCTTTCATTTGAACATCTAACAAAGAAGGGTAAAACAAATTGTTACTAATGCATATTGCTATTAACATACTTTGCTATTAAACTAATTATATTAAATTAGCAGAAATATTATAGAAAACATAGAATATAGTTTGATTCTAGAAAACCCTAATTTTTAGGAATAAACAAAGGTCTGGGTGTTTAGGGATGCAGATATATTACCTAGGTCTGCAACATCAGTGTGAACAACTTATTCTTCTAAAAAACAACAGCTTTAGTAATGAAATTCAATACATGAGTGTATTATTAATGTTACATGGCTGTAACAGAATGTGTGCAATATTTCCATAAAGGCAATATTCTAATGAAAATATATACTAATAAAATAAACATTACATTAAAATCAGCAATTCAACATATTTCCAGAGAAATCTAAACTCCATTAAAACCTATTTACAAAAAATGCCTGTAATTTACAATAATTAATTTTAAGTATCGTTGATAACAAAGATAATATATTTGATTTAAATATCCCTCTCAAATCCCCTTTCAAGACCATCAAGCAGTTAGTTACATATACAGAAACCATCAGTGCAGTCCTCTAACAATAGAAAGGAAATAACTAAATCTCTTACCTTCGAAGGCATTTAGAAAGCAAATTGTGGATTGAATAAACTGTCAGTGTAGAAGATATGTCCAGTAGGTCATACTGGAAAATATGTTTTGTTTACGGAAATGAAGCAATCTGTAAATAAATAGCCTATCCACTTGTAGATGGCTCTACCTTGCATCTAGGTCCTTTATGGTCCATTATTGCTGTTTAGCTGGCCAAAGTTTAAATGAAGATAGTCAGGCACTTCGCCAGGGCTGAGTGGGAGTCCAAGCCATTTTGTTAAAGGGACAGTGTCAGCCTGGGATCATGACTGTCTTCCCATTTTAAATAACTGAACTTTTACATTTAAAAACTCGCTTCTAGACAATCTGCATCTTTATCCATCACTTTGCCAGCCACACCTCTTCAGCTTGTCCATGTTAAAGTTGCAGTACTGACTAGATCAGAGATGTGAGATGAGTACATTATCATTTGTGGGCTAGAACAGAATTCTGACCCAAGGATTTGTGAGTCTGCCAGGACCACGAGCATGTCTCAAAAGTAGTAATTGCATTAATAATTACAGTAATAAAAGACAGCTTTAAAAAGAGTAATAATTCTGAGCTGTTTTTCTCAGAAATTCTGCTCTTTAAATCCTCTGAACGGTCAGACACAGACAGGATATCTAAAAGGGGGCTGTCATTTAAGTAGCTCTCAGCATGCTGCATGCAAATTACATTTGCTCTATCTACTGGCAGGCTGCAGATTAAAATTGTAATGCTACAGTGTTAAGTAAAAAATCAGGGTGAGAGAAAAATATGTCAATGGTAAGTATCAAGGAACCATAACAAGCACTGAGGGAGTTTTGTACAGTGCCCAGCCTCTGGACAGGCACTGCCTAAGAGACAAGACGTCCCTTGGCACCTTGGTGGCAGGGCAGGAGTGGAGAGGTCTTTTGTGTGGTGCTGCAGAAGGGAGATCTCAGGCTTCATCACTGGGATACATCAAGTCCTTAACTGCAATGTGATCAAGCAGAGAAATGTGTCAGTTGTAGATTGAAAAATTCAAGTCATATATGAATAATTAGGGCATTTCAAAAACATGATAAGAAGTTGCTTTTGAGTGAAGCAGATTTTTTGGCAGAGGTCCAATCTTCCATCAAAAATTTAGTATCGTAAATTTATAAACAGTTGTTCATTAACCATCCAAATATACGGAATAGCTTAAAAAAAATTTCTGCCTAAATACTATAGGTTACACTCTTTAACTTCTCTCACAACAGATTTTCTAGACTTGAGGTGACCTTGATAGCTTATGTCTCAGATATTAGTTTTAAACATATATAGAAAAACCAGACTCAGTATCTAATTCTATAGGATAGTAATGTTGTCTATTCTTCCCTCTTTTGTGTTTACAAACCCAAAGACTGTGTTTGCTCTTTTCGCTGCAACCTGATGGAAGTTTCATGGTAAAATTAATACCTCTCATTACCCAGAAGACACTTTCAGCATAGCAAGTAGTGGGCAAAGCTTAGGAATAGTTGTCTTACCAAAAAAATATGAACGTTGAGGCTTTGCATTCTCTGTAAGTAATTTATGCTTTTCCAGATTTGTAGGAAAAGCACATCTGAAAGATGAAAAGGCAGAGAATATAGAAGTTCTAAACTTTGATTTTGATATTGCAGATTTAATCAGGTTATTTCATAGAAACACAGTGAACACTATGTTTATTATTTGCCATTGATATGTCTTCCCTGAAGGCATTCAACTTTCAAAAAGTGCTAAAGCACATCTGTTTATTCTGCTTCAAGCATAGTTCTTTCACAGCATTGCCCTTAGAAAGCTATTAGAGCATAACATTGTAGAGTGCAAATACTTGCTCTCGGAGAATTCCTGGTCTCCTTATCAAGAAATGTCATTAACAAGGCTGATGACTTGCTATGATCCAGATTTTTTTATGCATAAAATGGAGAAACAGAAAGAAAAAGAGAGCTGACTACAATTCAAAAGCTTAATGTTGCTTCATATGATAAATTAAAAATGCAAAATGGAACATACTAAAGCCATTTAATGATTCCCAAAGCTTAAGGCAACAAGAAGGGCTTCTATAAATACACAAGTAGCAAAGACCAGCCTTCTGTCATTATAAATCCACTGAACTACATCTACAGCAGTCTATTTACTACACCCATATAAACCCAAATCTGTTAAAATTAATGGGGGATATTTTCCCTATGGCAGACTAAACAAGGTGGGGAAAACTTTTTCCCTTTCTCCATAATCCTGAAAGCCTCTTTTCTAATGTGAATTTCATGGTCAGCCTTTGAGTTCTTTGGCTATTTCCTACCTGATTTAAAACAGAGATACTAAATTCGTGCACTTTTAATAAGAAACAGGAGCCACGTAGTTAATTGGTGGCATCTCCTACCACCAACCCCTGACACACACACATGGCAAAGAGAGGTCAGCCCTTACTTGAGTTTCCTCCACTCTCTGCTCAGTCCAGATGAACTCATGATCTTGGCAATCAGCTTCCAAGGCTGCAAACCAGAAACTTAATTTGACAACTCCTGTCAGAACAGAAGGAAAAGACATGGGTAGCTGGTAGGGGTGGTGGGAGCAGTGAGGACAGGAAAGGGGAATGAAGACAAGGAACTTAAGTAATATGGGAAGGGAGGAAAAGTATTGCAAAAGAGGACTCCAAGCACTGGAGGAATACCTGGGTACACCACAATATACGGAACTATTAGGAAATCTGAGGTTACTGTTGTGTGGCTGGATGTAGGCAACGCAGGACTCAAAGAAATCCAGTGTTAGCTTCATTGTTTATCAACTTGCTGTACTACAAGGCACATATCACAAATCCGGATACAAACATTCTTCCTGAAGGAAGTTAAAACTGTTATGAGCAAGGAGGAAAAGAAGCAATCCACTCAGGAGAATTACATTCTAAAATTCAGATTATCTTCAAACTTTGCAGTATGAAAAAATACAAGGAAAAACAATGGATTACTTAAACTTCACTAATCAAATCCTCGTTGGTTTGGGTTGGTTTTTGGGTTTGTTTTTTTTTTGTTTTGTACAGTTATGGACCCTAATAGCAATGTATTTGAATGTCTTATAGGCAAGATTTTCTCCTAAACTTTCAACATTCATTGCAATAGTTCATCTTCCTGGCCACAGACACTGAAGCAAGTGGAGTTTGTCAAAGCATTGTCACAATTTAAACACCAATTTTCATTTAGTAAATGTAAATAACAGCAATGGAATATACTAACTAGGGGCTCTTAGGTAAGCAGAGTACCTTTCCTGCTGATATCATTAAAATTTTGGTGAAGAGGAAAGAATAGGGGGAAAAGAATAGGGCATCACTGACCAGTTAGCATAAAAAAATCTCTGCCTTCATTGAGGCTAGTAGAAGCACCCTTCATCTAGCCTGGGAGCAAGGTCTCCTCTTTTGCTAGAGCATACACTTTCTGAAGTACTCACTTTCTGCTTCTCCAATGGTAGATCCCTTTTTTAAAAGACATTCAACTAGAAATTACATCTTGGCAAATGCCCATAATCTATTCATGTGTGCTGTGAGCCACAAATATGACAGCATATGTAACTTTAACTCAGTAAAAGGGAGAAACAACACATACTAAGAAACTCAGTGAGGTCTTAGCTTTTAGCAAAGATGGAGCTGACCCTAGTCTGGTTGCATGGGAGAGCTGTACATCTGCTATATGATTGTACATACTACCATTCCTACACAGAACTGTCAGTCTGTGCATGCTCTGTTAAGATGAAATGTGCTGGAGGAACATGCTGCTACCAGAAAAAAATCATACATGCACTACTGGTCACACTCCTTCCTCAGGCAACCAAGGAAGGATTAGCCGTCCCAGCAGTTGCAGTCTGCTCCTGAAAGGCCTCCTTCTTAGAAATCTCTACATTATTTCCTGTCAGATGACAGATGAGCATGTGTCACTTCAATTGAAGTTTATTGTCTTCATTAAATAAATGTTGCCTTCATTACACAAACTAAGAGTAAAAACTTTCAATGGATTAGTCTTTTACACTAAATAGCTATTAATGCTATATAAAAATGATAATTACTGGCAGCATCCAGCATGTGTTGGATCAGATACGATGGTGATGATTAAGCATTTTATTAGTAACAAATCAGTCACATGAATCACTCATAGTGTTTACATACTTATTCTTACCTTATGCAAGCTTAGATCAAGACTTATAAACTGCCTATCCATCCAGAAACAGATTGTCAGCTATAGAAGAATGCTTTTTTCCAGAAGTCATCAAGATTTGTCTGCACTATGTGCCAAAACAGAATTGAGTGAATGGATTTCCTGCTGTGTTCAAAGATTTCTCACTTCTTTTGGACCTGCAAACACAAGTCTCGTCAGGTAGAAATCAGGAAATGTTAACATTTATTATTTTTAGACATAAACGTTTGACTGGTCAAATATATATATAACCTAATAGAGCACACAAACATCCAGCATTCAAATAGCAATGGGGTCAAGTTTGGTTGTATTTCTCTGGCTAGAAAATCTGTAGATCTGTTACGTGTTGTGTGTAATTAGTCTCTGGAAACAGCCTAAGCTCCTCACTATGTACTGTGCTTTGGAAGAACAATAAGGATCTTGACAGTTCTATTACAGGATTGTAGATTTACAGTTCAGAGCTTTATTTTTTCAATAGTCTTGCCAGTATGTAGTTTCATAGCTTTATATTCACTCAGAAGTCAAATCTGATGGAAGTAATGCCTCCAGATTCACAGCATTGCTTTTAACACTATTACTTCTTGCTAAGATGTTAAGTACAGCAGTATTTCAATGGCTGCTCTAAACCAGATGCTCAGTACAGCTAGCTCCCAGGACTACCAAATCTGTCTAAAGGTACTCATTACATGACTATGCTAAAGATCTGGTCTGCAATACAAAGGTTTATCTTAAAATTTATCTTATGTTGCTACGAATTTCGAGTTAAAAAGCCTTTAGTTCCTGCATTCTTGCTAAGTCACCTCTTCCACTGGAAAAGATCATGTAACATCTTTCTTTCCTGGTACAATACCTATCACCCTTGAACACTTGATGTTCTCATTAATCCAACTTAAAATGGTAAAGAAGAAACAGAGAGAACTGACAAAGATAAGAGAGAGTTTCTGTATGAAGACAGACAAAGTAAATTATGATTCTGTAGCTTGAAAAGCCACACCGAATGCAAATGTGATACAGAACTAGAAAAGTACTAAAGAAGGTGATTATTCTATAGTACGTGAATGTAGTATGTCAAAGGACTTACACTGTGGATCAGTTTGGTCGATTATATTAATCAAAATTGTCTGCCCTAAATTTACTTTTTTTTTTTCCCCACAGTATGCTCTTCACTCAGTAAGAATGACACTAGATACTATAAAGAATGGTAGATTTTCTTCTGCCTAGGAGACATAGCTAATGGATGCAATTTGAAGTATATTTCAAACTTTTTTAAAAACATTGTTATTAATGTTCGATATGTCTTAATTCAATGCCATTGTTATTCATACACTATTTAAGTAACACCATGGTAATATGCTTTTTTAAAATCAGATTGCAATCAATGTAACAAAAGGATCATTTAGTTGCTGAATTAAATTTATATAAACTATAAAGATATTTATGCTATCTAAATCCTGCCCTCTGGTGTATCTACATGATAATGCATAATGATAGTATTTCATACTGGGTGACTCCTTCATTATTTAATCTGAACACAGCTAGTAAATGAGGCTACTGTCTGGACAAAACATTTGTTCCCTTGTAATAGAAGGTGGAAGCTAAAGACTAAGATATTAAAAGACTGAGATACAATGCTTCAAGGGGGGAGGGTATCTTCTGGAAGAATTGGTTTTACTCCTGATTCCTATCTGATCCTGAGAAACTAACTACTCATTTCACACATTTCTTTTAGATACCCAGATTGGGAACACCAGTACCTGGACACATGGATCTTCTGAGCACTACAAAGTCAATGAAAGCTGAACTTGATCAGTGAATGTATCAGCAAGGGAATATGATCTGCTAAAGTATGTACAGTTCTGGGTTGTCAGAGAATTCAAATGACAGTCTTGTTGTGTCACTTAGGAAGACATGTAATACTGGTTTTAGAAATGTTCCTAGGAAACGATTACTTACAACTGGAAGAAAACAGAGCAAGGACTAAAACAGTAACCATTCCAAAACAGACTTACTTTACTTTCTGGCAGTCTGGTTACTGAAATTCTACAATCCCCTTTTGGACCAGGCTCACCTTGTTGTTCCTAAAAAAAAACCCAACCCAAAACCAAAAACCAACCAACAAACCCAAACCCTAAAAATCTGAATTTGGAATAATTTTTATTAAATGTTTGACTTCGCTGACATCTTAAAGCAAAGATGACCAAAGTTTTTATGTGCGGCAATCACATCATTTGTTTTGCGGCCACTTTGTGGCTACAAATAATTACCAGTTTGAAAAAGTGCTTTGGTCAGGCTCAGCAATAAGGAACCTGGTTGGAATACAGCATATTTCATCTTCAAATCCTTTAAATAACCCTTTGTAAAGCCTCTACACTTTAATTTATGTTTGTAAGCACCTGGTGACCAAGATATAGTTCAAGAAGCGTTCTCCCTATAACAGTTAGCTACTGGTAGTGATCCAAACTGAAGAGTTACTTTTTATCTCATGACTTTCCCTAGAAGAATAAGAGCTCTAAATGTATAAAAAGGCTTGTCCTCAGTTACGTATATCCCTTGTTCTATCCTTTTAAAATCATAGTTTTTTTTCACAGGTTATCTTTGGACCCTGAACACCCAAACCTTGGGATCCCTTTGGTCCACTCATTCCTTTAGAACCCTGGATATCCTAAAAACGTAAGGTAGGAGATTAATTTCAAAATTTTCATAGATTAGTTTTCCAATTAATAAAATTAAGTAATTACCTTCTTAATGAAGTAAATGTGTCTGTCTGTGGACAGTCTTGCTGTCTTTATTTGAATTCCCTCACTTACATTTCTGTGCATCTCTGTGAATAGAAAGGAAGGCAACAACAACTGATACTAATGGAAGAAGTGAAGTCGAGAAGTTCATTCACTCTTATCCAACCCTATGCAGTGGCATAGGATGCTCTGCCATCTAAAACCAGTCACCTTCCTTAGTCAAAAGGCTTGTTATTTTGAATGCTCAAGGTGAAAGACCTGGTAGGCCAACTGGACCTACTAGACCCTCAAAACTTTTTTCACCCTGAAAATATATGGTATTAGAACACAGCAACTTGCATTAGGATTTTATTATGAAATTGAACAAGATTAAGTGATAATTAAGTGAAAATTAAGTGATAATCACAACATATACAAAGAATGAAAGTATGATCTCTAGGAAAAAAAAAAATCAGTAGAAATGTTAAAACCTAGGGGAAATAGTCTTGCAATGTGTACCCACAACTTTTACAATCACAATGAAGAATCTGTTTAATTTGACATATTTTTAAAAGGACATACATTTTACATACACTGAGAGAAGTTTGAACCCCAGCTTTAAACTCCAGATGTAATTCATACTTTCTCTTACCTAATATCAGACAAACCAGTACTATTGGGTATGCATCATGGCATAGAGGACTACAACAGCACATCTGAAACAGTCTGCCTGGCTCCACTAAGCAATAATTTTTGCAAGTTTAAGTAATCATAATCCAAAACAGAAGCAATGTGAATGACAACAATGTCAGACTAGATATTTTTTTCTTTTTCTGTAAAGGGAAGAGCAGCAGTAGACTTATATAACTTAATTAGATATTGTCATGTATTTAAAAAGTCAGTATTTACATTGTGTTGCATCATGCAAAACTCTGTAGTCCTGAAAGGATTTGGCTAGTTTGGCTAGTCCCCTTGGCCAGACATGACACAACTACATTAAATCTCAGAGAGGGACATAAACTAAAAGAAAAAGCAGCCTTCCAGGAATCAAATACGGAAAAGCATAACAGTCATAAGGGAAAAACCTGTTTCTAACTAGTATATTGAAACCCATTAACTAACCTTGGTACACCTTGACCTCTTATGAATTTTAAAGAGATCTTTAATGAAGAAAAGAAGCTCAAAATGGAGCTTCCTCTGTACAAAGTCCCTACATGATTAAAAATTCTTGAAGAACTCATAGACTTGTACATAGAGCAAACTTGAAATATTCTGCAGAGTTATAAAAAAATGTAAATTTATATCTCATCCATGCAGAGAAATTGCTAAAAATAGTTTGAGATACAACTGCATGAAAGCAATTCCCACATAGGGTATTAGAACTAAGCAGATCTTACAAAGAATATAAAAGGGACTGATCAGAAGTGTGAGCTAAGTCTGAGAGGCCAGAAAATGTATGATTAAAATGACACTTGGTAAAATCGAGCTGAATTAGATCCTTAATGATTTTTTTATGTGTAAGTTTATTTAGACATATCAATTACAAGGAACCAGGAAATATAAAAAGCAGCTATTATGCAATGGTGATGAAGAGATTAATAATAATTTAGGCACAACTTCAAAACTAAATAAATATTCTTCATTATTTATAAATAAAGATGCTGCTATTGGATGAAGGTGCAAATGTAGAGATAGCTACAGGAAAACTAAAAGTGGAAAATCACAGTGTGAAAAACATAAGCAAAGATCCAAGAGATTAAAAGGCTCAGAAACTTTTGAGAAATTCACAGTGTCACTAACCAAACTCTGGTCCAGCATTTACTTTGAGACCAACATAGGAAATTTAATTTCTGAGATCAGTTATAAAACGTGTATGTCCCAACTGTGACACAGTGGTCTCTGAGAAGGTGAAATTCTTTTGCATTCTGGAACACTGAATAACTCTTGTGTTTCCATTAAATTTGCTTGGTACTTGTCATTACAGTAACAGCGTTTACTGGTTCAAATACAATTTTTCATTTTTAAATTTCTCTGAATCTCTCTTGTGCCAGAGATACAGGAAACGCCTCTTCTGTAGTTAGCACATATGTTAGTATTTGGACCATCATCAGGACTTAAGAAATGAGCAAGATGTCAGCTACTTAGCTGCTGATTCCCTAGTATCTACCTAAAGAACTTCCTCTTAAAATCGAAGTTACATGATATGGTTATTACAAGTACTAACCAAACTCATGTCCCATACCTTCCTATGGAAAAATGTTAGGAACACAGAAACTGAAGTTCATCTTTGTTATAAAAAGAACCAGTAGGTGATTATTAGAAACAGATGTGAAAAAGTCACTATGTCCCACTTGAACAGTAGCAGAGGAAGTGGAATGATGAAAAATGAAACAGATAAGCATCAAAATACAGGCTGCCAATTTTGTCTTTGATATATGATAGACTACTCTATTTGAATTAGTCTTAATTTTTCCACACATTTTGCCCTACTTTATTTTATAAAACAATTGCTGAGTTCCTGAAGATTACTATAATTAAGGAAAAATGCTGATTTTATGAGGAAAAATGCTTTTCAAATAGAAGGAATATTAGAATGAAATCTAAGCCAACTAACAGTTGCACCATTCGACCACATTTGTCATTTAAATTAATAAACCCTGTGAATATATAACACATAAAATGTAGTTTCTCGGATAACACAAATTCTCCAGTATGCTCATAGAAAAGAAAAAACAGCCAACAAACATTAACACAAATGATGGAAAAAAACAGTCCCTCCACATGTTTTTAAACTAAAGGCACTGAATACAGGGGGATTATTGGAAGGATGGAAGAACAATGGTTTACCATATGCTTTCTTTAAGAAGTTTTGCTAAGCTATAAAAACATTGGAAAGATCATTAAAAATTATTTACTGTAATTCAAAAGAAAAAGTAGGAAAATATTTAATAAAGAAGCCAAAGACTAAGTGTTTGCTTTGTTTTCTGAGAAAAATAAATATGAGAGGCAGCTAAAATAAGGAACTAAGACCCTGACTCTAACAGTGCTAAAGAAACCATTAAAAATGTGACATTTAAATATTTCCAGGCCAACTATCAGCCTTTATATTTGAAGCAGGACATTATTCAAAGGGAACCTGAAATTGTCCAAATAGTATTTCAGTTTATAATTTCTATTTCAGACAATTTTAAAGAGAGTTAATACAAATAACAAATGGATGCCCTCTCCATGGAAGTGTTGAAGGCCAGGTTGAATGTCACTTTGAGCAACCTGGTATAGTGGGAGGTGTCCCTGCCCATGGCAGGGGGGTTGGAACTCAATGATCTTTAAGGTCCCTTCCCACCCAAACCATTCTATGCTTCTGTGAAATAAAGGAGAAAAGGTAAAAGTGAACATCTCCATGGCTTGCAGAAAAAAGCAGGTTCTGAAACCCTAATCACACAGGACCAAGGAAATCTCTTTTTTCCAGGTAATTCATAGGTAAGAAGAAAACTTTATTACTATGAGTGTGATCAAACACTGGAACAGGTTGCCCAGAGAGGATGAGGAGTCTATATTTTTGGAGATACTCAAAAACCAACTGGGCAAGATCCTGAGCAACCATCTCTAACTGACCCTGCCTTGTGCAGAGGAGTTGGACTACATAATCTCCAGAAGTGCCTTCCAACCTCAGATATCCTGTGATACCAGGCCATATTTCACTGAGAAACTAGCCTGTATTTCAGAAATTTCACTCAAAGTATGAAAATGTTCTCATAAGTGTACCTTATTCCCACTGAAAGTTGTCAGCAACTGTGTGGGTTGGGTCCCAGACTTATTAATGCATACCTATTTCACCTGACTTTTCATAGTGTTAAAAAACTAATTTCTGATCTTCTGTGAATGACATGAAAATGCTTATCATCCCTTCCTCTGTTAAACATACAACAGGTCTGACAATGGGACAAACTACAAAAATACACCACTACACAGAAGCATTAGAAGTCACAAATCCAATAATGAAAAAGATAAGTAAAGCAAATTCCTGCTTTGTGAAAGAAAAATTGATGGCCTAACCACACATGTTTGGAAAGAACTGAACAAAACCCAGGTATGCCAAAATCATCATGTTCCAATTCAGGTGCCTCCCTGTTTTAAAGCTGTGAGATCAGCTAATTTACTTGAGAGGAAAGACATGGGTTAAGGTAGGCATGCCTACCTGTTTAATGCCCGTTTTCCTGCATTGTAGTTTCGCGTTGACTACTAACTGAAAATGTTACCAGCTATTTTAACAGCTTTTTTCTCTCATTTAAATAATAAATTCTACCCTATTAAGTTAATACCTAAGCGACATGTAAAAATCACCAACATCCTACATAAAAGTC